ACTGTTTAGCAAAGTCATACTTGTGTACATTTAAAATTTAATATGTTGAATAAAATTGTTGAGTGTTTTAGGTTTTCCGTTTGCATTAAATATGGAGCGGGAAATTTAGTAAAAGACAAAGGATTTCTTTGTCTACTAATCATCCCGTGCATTTTTGATGAGGGAAGATTAGTAGACAAAGAAATCTTTTGTTTTTTACTAAATTTCCCGGGGAAATTTAGTAGACAAAGCGAAATATTCCCTGTTGCATGCGTAATGAGGAAAATACGGGATTTAAATTCCCTATGAGAACAATAGAAAACGAGGCGATCATGATATTACATACAGTAAGAAATATATATAAGTATAAGTATAAGAATAATAATGCTATTCAAGAATGTGAGTATTCAAAAATGTGAGTAGCGATTTTAGTTTCAAAGGACATGATGGAGTTGCTCTCTCTAATTTCGGTTGGTAAAGAATTCCAAATGTGTGCCCCGTCAAACATGAAACTTTTTTTCAAGCTATTTGTACGCGGCTGTGGTAAGCAAAGAGTACTTTCCACATCTCGAAGTTTATAATTTGTCATTTCACTTTTGAAAGTAAATAAATCGGTAAGTGATTTAGGACCCATTTTATTCAACAATTTAAACATCAGTTTGGACTTAGCCTTTATTCTTTCCGTTTTAAGTGGCTTCCAGTCTAAAGCATCTAAAGCAACCAGACGATCTACATCATTGCTCATATTCATTATGATTCGAGCAGCTCTGTTTTGGAGCTTTTGGAGGCGTTTTGATTGTGTTTCACCAAACACATCCCATACTTCACAGCAATATGTAAAGTATGGGCGAACAATAGAATTATACACAGAGACAAGTGTATCTTTCTCAACAAATTCTTTTATTTGACGAAGAGCTGATATCCCGGATGTTATTTTCTTGCAAATTGTTTCAGTATTATTCTCCCAAGACAAATGCTGGTCAACAGTCATTCCAAGAGTTTTGCAATCATATACTTGTTTAATTGGTTTGTTTTCTATGATAATGTTTGGTTGTCTATTTGAGATACTTTTTATCATTGGTTTAGATCCAATTAATATAAATTCTGTTTTGGCCACATTTAAACTTAGTTTATTGGCAATTAACCATTTCCTAAGGTTTTCTAAATCAGAATTCATTGCAGCTTCAACATCATTTATAGATTCTCCCGCAGCTGTTAGGTTTGTATCATCAGCAAACAGTCGAGGTTTTGTTTTGCTTAGACACTGAGGCAAGTCATTAATATATAATAAAAAGAATAATGGCCCTAAAATAAAGCCTTGTGGCACGCCACACTTAATCAACCGCTCCGATGAAATAGTTCCATTAACTTGGCATTTCTGAGTGCGATTTATCAAGTATGATTTTAGTAGAGCCAAAGCATCTCCTTTTACGCCATAAATTTCGAGTTTTTTTAGTAAAATCTGGTGGTCGACAGTATCAAATGCCTTTTTAAAGTCAATTAGTACAACCAAGTTAACTATTTTTTTGTCAATATTCATATACCAACTATTAGTACAGTCTAGTAACGCTGTAGCAGATGAGTGCGATTTGCGAAAGCCAAATTGACAATCATTAAGTAGCTGAAATTTTGTCAAATAATCATATAGTTGGTCATATAAAATTCTTTCCATAACTTTGCTAACAGCTGGCAAAACAGAAATTGGTCAGTAGTTACCAGGGAAATTTTTTTGGCCATTTTTATAAAGAGGTGATACTCTTGCCATTTTCCATTCATCGGGAAAAGCGCATAGTGTAATAGCTTGATTAAAAATATAAGTTAATGAACTGGAGATAGCAGGTGCTGCTAGTTTTAAAATTTTACTTGAAATTTTGTCAATGCCAGTGGCTTTTGCACTAGAGAGGCCACATAGGAGATAATAAACTTTGTTGATGGTAATTGACTATATGGCGTATATGGCGTGGCAATTGACTATATTGACTATATGGCGTGGCAATTGACCGCGCGGTGATGGCGTATAAAGGGACTGAAACTGACAGATTATATGGCGTAAAAATGGCGTGGAGAGATGACGCCACTGCTCACGCGTTGCTCCCGCGAGGCTTCACTTTTTAATTGCCAATGACTGAATGTTATCGTTTTCCGTAAATAGATTGAGTTCACTGTGTTAAACGAGGCTATTAGTTTATTACTGAATCTTGTAACACAGTTTCTCTTTTTGTCTTGAAACACAGAGAGGACAAATTTCACATCCAACGGAGTTAGCGGAGTGTTTTAATAATTATTTCACCAATACTGTTCCAGATATTGCCAAAAATATCGACAATGGTGACAGAAATTTCAAGGATTACATCACAACAACAACTAGTAGCTTTAATGTTCAAACAGTGTCTGAATTGAACGTATACAGACTTCTGTTATCTCTAAATCCTCGTAAATCTACTGGAATTGACAAAATCCCTGCTAAAATTATTCGCATTGCTGCTCCTGTAATTACAAACTCATTGACAAAAATTTTCAATATGGACATTATAAGTGCAACTGTTCCTTTTGAGTGGAAAATAACAAGAGTCACTCCCATATTTAAAAACAGCCCACGAAACTTATTAAACAACTATCGCCCAATTTCTATCCTCCCTGTAGTAAGTAAACTTAAGAGTCAAAAAGTATTATACGAACAACTCCATGAGTATCTTGTTACACAGGAGTTGTTGTTCCCTCGTCAATTTGGTTTTAGGAAGTTTCATTCTACAGCCTCTGCTCTTTTAGATAGTACAAATGAATTGTTTATTAATATGGACCGTGGTTTGATTAATATAGCTGTTTTTCTGGACTTACAAAAGGCATTCGACACCATAAATCATGACATCCTGTTAACGAAACTTGATCTTTATGGCCTACAGAAGCCATCATTAAACCTTTTAGGATCCTATTTAGCGAATAGAACCCAAATGTGCTCCGTTAATGGCGCTCTGTCGGGCACGAAGTTGGTTACATGTGGAATCCCTCAAGGTTCAATTCTTGGCCCACTCTTATTCTTGATCTACATTAATGATCTGCCTAACAGTTTGGAGTACTCATCGACATGAATGTTTGCCGACGATACGACTCTAACTGTATCTGGCAAGTCAATTCAAGATGTAGAGGTGGCCATAAATCATGACCTTACCAACGTTAAACAATGGCTTTCTGCAAATAGATTATCTCTTAATCTAGTCAAAACTGAGTATCTACTAATAGGATCGCCGTACAACATAAATAATTTACTTGCTGCTCCAAATGTATTTGTTGGTGATACACCAATTAAAAAGGTCAAAGAAACAAAAGCGCTTGGAGTTCATATTGACGAGTTTCTATTGTGGGATAAGCATATTGATAAAATTGCTAAGAAGATTTCATCCGGAATTGGGGCGATCAGAAAGCTAAAATCTTGTGTGGATCATAATACATTAATTTGTGCTTATAATGCACTTATACTTCCACACCTAGATTATTGTTGCGAAGTTTGGGACACCATTGGTGCCACACTTTCTGATCGACTCGAGAAACTACAAAATAGGGCAGCTCGAGTTATTACTGGCCGTAAAAACGAACACGGTCAATCTGAACTTGCTCTAGACGAACTGAAATGGAAACCTTTAAGTGAACGCAGAACACATTTCGTAGCAAGTCTTATGTATAAAATAACTCACGAACTGGCGCCAAAACGACTAACCAACATTTTTCATTTTTCATTTTTCGTCTTCCTCTTATTACTATAATATGCGAGGCTCTTCCACCAAACTCTTTTTGCCCAAACCTAAGACTGAATATCTTAAAAAAGTCTTAGTTATAGAGGAGCGAAATTGTGGAACTGCCTTTCTGATGAAACAAGAAACAAACATTCTCTTGCTTCGTTTAATTCATGTATACGACACCTGTCCAATCAATCAATCAATCAATCAATCAATCATTAATTAATTAATTAATTAATTAATTAATTAATTAATTAATTAATTAATTAATTAATTAATTAATTAATTAATTAATTACGTTAATCAAAAATATTGCACAGTACTAACATTAATTTAATATGTAAATAATTATATACTCGTTGTATTTGTAAATGTATTGTAATTGTTGTTAACTGTAATGTAATGTATGACCATAATTTGTATTAATTGTATTTTTTAGGCTAACTATTTAACGCCCCCCTTGGAAATCAGCCTTCGCTGTAGGGGTTAGCGTAGTTAAATAAAGTTTTACCTACCTACCTACCTACCTGACCGCACAGAGCCATGCAATGCATGCAGCAATTAATTACATTCACATAAAACTGTTAGCATGCTCGATCATTTCACCTTTAAAGTGCCTATATCAGGGTCAGGGAAATGATTTTTCCTGATAGTTTAGACAATTTTAAGAGCATTTGCAATATATTTGACAAGACGAAAATTTGATCTTCATGGACTTTTTGGGCCTCAAAGTTGCGGATTTTGGCAAATTTTTGTGTTTGACCGTGAGATACAATTACTGGTAACTAGTTGTGTTGTGAGGCGGAAGTGACGTAGGAATGAGAAGACATGCTTTCAGAACAACAGGACATTTATAGTAAAACAGCAACATTGAACACTTTATCCGTTTTTAAAAACACGAGAAAAGAATATTTTATCGGTTTTTTGTTTATTTCGCTGAACGTCCATGGTTCAGAGATGCCACATAGGTGTGTAGCATATGGATGCTCCAACATTGCTAGCCAAAATGAAGGAATATCGCTGCACAATATTCCGTATGCGAATGACGATCGGCCAGAGGCAAAAAAGCGAAGGAAACGATAGGTTGACTTTGTGAAACGAAAGAGACTGAACTTCGAACCAACAGCTTCAACGAAGATATGCTCAAGACATTTTATGGCCGAAGATTTTGTGAGACCATTCGCTGTTGGTTTGACGACTGAGAAACCAAAATTGAAACAGCTACTAAAGACAGACAACTTTGGTATCTGCGTGTATCCGACGATTTTAGTCTTGGGTGGCGATGAAATGAAACCTTTATCCGCAAGAGATCGCCGATATTCTGTAAGTAATTCATTTAGTAATTATGTTTTTACTATTGCCAGTCGTCAGTCCTAAATTTCGTTCAATGTGAATATGTTCGTGCCATATATATTCATTAAAATTATGTATTCATACCTAACAGGTAATAAATGCTAAGCGGTCAAGTACATTGCTAAAAGAGGAAGGCGAACCCTCCACCTCGACTGAACAAGGTGAAACCTCAACAATGGCTGAAGTTTATACTGACAAAGGTGAACCATCTACTTCAACATTGGCTGATCAAGATGAACCCTCAACATGGCCTGGGCCTAGTGGTACTTAATATTATTTTATTTTAGACTAGCACACGTGAAAATACAAAAGATGGTTGGTGCCAAACTGTTGAAGTTGCTTGTAAAAATTGCACAAAGCTGAAATAAGAGCTACTGCGATTGAAGCAGACAATACAGTTTTACCAATCCAAATTAAATTTTTGTAAGTCAGCAATCATTATTTTTGATCACCTAGTTACATTAATTTCACTATAATATTAAAAAATTATGAGCATGGCTTTATTTACTTTTATAATATAGCATTTGTAAATTCTGAATGCTGATTCGCTAAGAGCCATGTTGATATAACTCAACGTCAACACATTTGTATTTCTATGTGCTATATTATAGACACTCGTGGAAATTGGGAAAACTCGAAATTGTGTGAAAACACTCCGCCCTTCGGGTTCGTGTTTCCACAAAATTTCTTGTTTTCCCTATTCCACTCATGTTGATATAACTGTATATCAGCATGGAAAACGTTTTATATTTGTTAAATAATTTATGTATAAACTTAATAGATGATGAAAAGTTCTGTGATGATCATGATGTTGGCACAATCAGTACAACCCATGATGACAGTGAAGACAGTGACGATGATGCCGTAGATAATGATCGTGAAGATGACAGCAATGAAGGTGATTTGTTGGAGCCATCTTCTCAAACAGAGACAGAAGAAGAACCAATGATGGTGGACAAAACAGTTTCAAGTGATACAGAGCCAGAGGATGAAAATGTGACATATGATAAAAGGTGCGCAAATAGTGAATGCAATCATTAAAAAGTACTTTTAAAATGTTTTTGGGCAATATATACTGTACAAAGTGTTGTGTTTATTTAATTAAATGAATAATATTCTTAACTTTATTCTTATAGCATTTTTGCTAATAATGAAAACCTCATGATGGAACCGAAGTTTGTTGTCTTCCTCTTGCAACTGTTGGAACTATTCAAAGTTTGTGCAACATGCAAGAAGCCTGATGTGCTGGTAGAAATGAAAGAGGTTGGTACAATGGTTCAAGTTGAGATGACGTGCAACAACAAAAGATGTCGAGAGGGGGAATAAAGTCTGGAAAAATCAACCATTGATGCCTGGCACTTTAAGGATTGTCCTCGTAATAAAAAATAATTACAAAAAAATTTGACATTACATTAATTTGCAAACTACATACTAGCTAATTAAATTATAGATGTATTATTTTTTTATGCATTGTTCAAATCTAGAGTGCACCCCCCCCCCCACAGGAACTTGCTCATTTTATGTTGTTTCCCAGGGGTGGGTCATTTGAAAACCAAACTCAACCCAGTGGTGAGGCATTTGAAATCAATTAGGCCAAAAAATACCATGGTTTCCTATCATATGTTACAAAAACCTAGGAAGAGTAGGTCGGTTTTGAATTTTTTATTTCATTTTTATGAATTTTATACATCATATCACAAACCAGTGAGCTCTAAACACCAGGAACCCTGGTATTATTTTTTGGCCTTATAAAATTAATCCAAATCAGTTTTTGTATTGATCTCACTTCAAGTGTTTGCAAATGGGGGATATGCCTCGGACATCAGTCACACTTCGGGGAACTTTCCACTTTTTTACCAATCTAGGAATTAACCCATTGAGTCGCATTGCGCCCTGATGCACCCTACTTTATTATTTTACTCTGTCTAACGCCAGACGATTTTACTCGTCAAGGGGACAGCGCTGGTGCTTAATGGGTTAACTGGCCTATCTGCCCATGTGTCTATTTAACCCATTGAGTCGCATTGCGCCCTGATGCACCCTACTTTATTATTTTACTCTTTCTAATGCCAGACGATTTCACTCGTCAAGGGGAGAGTGGTTGGGTTAACAAGATATATTGATTTAAACTGTCAGAAGCCCTGGGGGTGGGTACTTTTGGATGCATAATATTATTGTGATGATATCATTCCAACTCTTCATCATCCTCTAAACCTTTGAAGTCTTTTCCACCAAAAGCTTGTCTTATGGCATGATAAGCACATGTTGGTAAAGGTATTCTTCTCTTTCCCAAGTATCCATAAACCAATTGTATATACTATATACTCTCTATAGGCAACACTTCGGAAATACCTATAATATAAGAAACTTTTCATGTAATATTTGTAATGGTTTTATATAAATGAAATTTTCTGATTGATAACAAATTGTGGGGATTTATCAGGGTTAAAAATGGCTATATTATATTGTTTAATAAATCTATATATATTATTACATATATGTGTCTTGCCTGTTTTTATCACCTTCCACGTTATACTTCCTGCCATCTATTTTTCGAAATTTACGCCCTGCCAGACGCAATGACCAGGGTGATAAACAGACCGAACCAAAGCCTGGATGAAGCGTTATGCAATTTGGCTCAGCACCTACTTCTTGTAAAACAAGTTCTGTTCCTTCTGTCCCTGTTCTAAGCAGCCTTCGATTTCTTGGCAGCATTGAGCCTCTCTCTCTCATTTACCAGTAAATCGACTTTACATAGTTCGCATGTACACCTGAAATAAAAAGGAACACCATATAATATCATTGTGATTTGTCAAACGAAAAAGGAAAACATTTTTACATGAGTGTCAACACTAGCCTGCGTACGCCGTAGCGTCTACACAAAATGTAAACACGAGCTCTGTCTCTGAGCTCACATATAGTATACATTTCACCTACCAATTTGATACGGGGATGGTTCCGTTCAAGCGAGACATAAGCAGCTGTCGTCTCCCTTCTTCGGCACGTCTCTCTTCGTTGTATTGAGCTATCCAAGCTGGATCAGCAATCGGTTCGTCTTGGTAAGGTTGTCAGCCTGGCCACTGGTCTTCATCGCTTTGTATTGAGCTGTCTGTAGGAGGCTTCCCTGAACTGCATTATCTTCGATTTCCATTATATAATTTGGTAAAAAAATCATATCCGAATCAAGTTGGCTGTCCGTATTGTCGGAAAAACTTGACGACATTGTTTAAACGAAAAGTTAACCCAAAATGTTATTAAACGGAAAAATCGGACGATATTTTGGACTAAAATTCTATACTGTTTTATTATGATGATACTTGGCAAGTTTAGCGTGTTCTCATTCTTACGTCACTTCCGGCGGTTAACGCCGATTAGTTACCAGTACTTTCAAGCTCGCGGTAATTCGAAAAATCACCAACTTTGAGGCCCAAAAAGTCCATGAAGATCAAATTTTCGTCTAGTCAAATATATTGCAAATGTTCTTAAAATCGTCTAAACTATCAGTAAAAGTCATTTCC